GAGCTCATGAGGAAGCGGCTTTAGATTCTCAGTGCTGTGCTTTAACCCACTGTGCCACCAGGGAGGGCCCTCAGTTGACTCTTTTAGCTGTGATCTTTGCCATGAATTCCTTGCCACTCCCCATGTTCCTGCCCTTCATTACAATCCCAACATTTTGTATGGCTCTCTCACTATCCCTGGATTTAAATCAGTACTTACGTCAACCAGTTCTATTCTTCCCTCCATCCCTCACCATCATTATCTCAGTACAGTTCCTAGCACACAGCAGTAGTGGCATTTATTGAGTGCCTACTATGTGCCGGGCTTTGCTGGTATTGTTTAATTCAACTCTTTCAACTATCCTACGACGTAGATACCACTATTTAATCTCCTTTTACAGACGTGGAAGCTGAAGCCTATTGTCTTGCCTAATGTCAGAAGTGGCCAACAGGTAAATCCAAAACAGGCTCCCGAGTCTGCACTTGTCACGACTGCACTCTGCTGCCCCAGTAATTGGTTTCGGAAAGAATAAATGAATGAACGAAATACCCCCCTCCCACCGCCCTCTTCCTTAACGTCACCAGACGGAGCACGAAGACCACGCAGGCATCAAGTCCAAGAAATGTCCAAGTCCCTCGGGGCGCCTCGGATCCCGCCGTCAGGCACAGGCTCCAACCACAGGATCGGGGGGCCGTCCGAAGCCCAGGCGGGGGGAGGGGGAGGTCTAGACCTGGGCCGAGGCAGGACGGCGCCACTACTCACGCCAGCGGGCAGGAGGGGGCCGGGTGTCCGCGCCACAGCCAGGGGCCCGAGGCGAGGACCGTGCTCCGCCCGGAAGGCTAGTTTGTTCATTAGTGGTCCCAGTTGCCGGAAGCGCTTCTTAAGCACCAGCAACGCCACAGGAAGTCAGTAAATCCGGTTGCACCATCAAAGGTGTCCCCGTGCCGACAGTACCTGGCCGCCTTTTTCTGCTCGTCTCTTATTCTGACCTTCCTGTATTACGCACCGCTGACAGAGTTCTGGTCTTGAAGCAGCGAGGCCACCATCGCTGACCAGAGAAGCCGCTGGCAGCCGGGCCAGGGAGGCGTGGCGCGGAAATTGGCGCTCGGAGGGGAGGTTTCCCGGGGGCAGGTTTGGAGCTGCACCCTGCGGAGGATGGCGGATGGTGGCCCCGCTCAGTCGGAGCCGCTCGCTTCTCCTGAGCCCAATGACGACTTCAAGAAGCCAGCCCTGCCGGTGCTCGCGGGGGTGCGAGACAAGACCCCGGCCGCCAGTCCTCTCAACTCTGAGGAAGTGAAGCAGGAAAGGCCCGCGGCGCTGCCGGACCCCGATCCCGGGGAGCCTGACCTCCCCGCGGCCCGGCCGGACTGTGAGGAGTCTGGGGATCCCCAGGCGGAGCAGCCGCGGCCCCCCACAGCAGCTCCTTCTGGAGGTCCGTCCCGTGCTCCCCCTTACCAGGAGCCGCCGTGGGGTGGCCCCGCCACGGACCCCTACAGCCTCGAAACCCTGAAGAGCGGCACCATCCTTAGCACCCGCAGTTTGAAAGGAACGAGCGCCTGCCTTTTCGGGAGGCTGTCTTGCTGCGACGTTTGTCTCGAGCATCCTTCGGTGTCTCGGTACCACGCGGTGCTGCAGCACAGGGCGTCAGAGCCGGACGGAGAAGGCGACGGCCGCGGGCCGGGTTTCTACCTCTACGACCTGGGAAGCACCCACGGCACGTTTCTCAACAAAACCCGCATCCCACCCCGCACCTACTGCCGGGTCCACGTCGGGCATGTTCTTCGCTTTGGAGGTAGTACCCGGCTCTTTCTGCTTCAGGTAAGTAGAAAACCTGACTTGGAAGTCTCTGAAGCCCCCATGCTGGGCTCCTGCGCCCCTTAAGCTGTCGCTGAGGGAGGTTCACACCAGAGGAACCAGGAGTCTCGCTCCAGACCGCTGCAGAGGTCTACCTACTGCGTATTTCTGAAAGTGACTCCCACAGTCCTGAACTCTAAAAGAATTCTTTCGCTTGGCTCATCAGGGACCCGAGGAAGACCGAGAGGCAGAGTCCGAGTTGACAGTAACTCAACTGAAGGAATTGCGGAAGCAGCAGCAAATGATGCTGGAGAAGAAGATGCTAGGAGAAGACTCAGATGAAGAGGAAATGGATACTACTGAAAGGAAGAGAAATGCTGGTAGTCAAGATGATGAAATGGGCTGCAACTGGGGAATGGGTAAGAAATTCTAATTACTGCCAGAGGGTAATATTTTAAATTCATTACTAGTGATACCTTTAAACCGGATTATTTTGTTTTTTTCAAGATTTATTTATGCCACTGGTTTGGGGTTGGGGGAGGGTGAGAGCGTTCACCAGAGACAGCGTAGGGAGCAGAACAGACAGATGTATTGAAATACACTGTTGAGGGGAGCATGGGGAGGGGGTCCAGAAAGGTCTGCTGTGCCATGTGGGTCAGCTCCCTGGCTGGGGATCAAACTCGTGCTGCAGTGGCTGTGGACAGGTTCACAGTGCTATACTTCAACCCAGTAGGCCACCAGAAAGGGCCCTCACTCTTTTATCTTTTTAATGTGGACACCAGGAAATACAAATAGTTATATATATTTTTGGTAAAACTAACTTTGATCTTTGAGACAGTTTATAAATTTATAAGCAGAACAGTTTTTAGCTGACTTGGCGGAAAGCTAAAATAGCACTTAGGAACCTGGATTGGGCAAAGATTCAGGGCAGGGATCCATGATTTTGAGATTTAATGGAGCAATGAGTAGATCATTCTAGTTGGCAGACATGACAAGTATTAGAAAATTATATTTAAGACAAAGGTGTTAGACCAGAGTGTAAGAGATGGAAAAACCAGGCTGAAGAGTTTAAGATTCCACCCCCCGCCCCATAAACAGTGTGGTAATTTTGCTATTAAAATACAGTGATGGACATCATGAATAATACATAGACTCTGAAAAGCACAGGTTAGCAGAGGGAATGGGGGGGGGAGAGTACAATGGGTGGGAAGGGGATAGGGTGTTGGCACTGGTGTTTTGGTGGAGGATGAGGCATGTTCACTTCTGCAGGTGTGGTTGTGCTCCCAAGTTTGTATAGTTATGTGAATGACTTGCAAATCAGTAAAATTTGAGGAAAAATACATAGTGAAAAAATCTTAGTGATAAGATTAAAAATAAGGAGGTGTGAAAATAAGTTTGAACTTGTCATGCAATTAGAAAACCTGAAGATTTTCACATTATGGGTTGTAGTATGTGGTGGTCTGATTGTTCTCCTCCACCTTTCTTTTCTTCACTGATAACCTCAGAAGGTAGCGAATGTCATTCACATGGTCTCTTCTATTAGCTGATTATCTTCTCTTTCCTTCCTATGTCCTATAGGAGAAGATGCAGTAGAGGATGAGGCTGAAGAGAACCCGATTGTCTTAGAGTTTCAGCAGGAAAGGGAAGCCTTTTATATAAAGGATCCCAAAAAGGCGCTCCAAGGATTTTTTGACCGAGAAGGTATGTGAACAGATTCTGACTTTGACAGTTAAATGTATCCACCTCTTTGTTGTTTTTCAGATCTTTGGGTTTTCAAATTGCTGTGTTTTATCTTCAATTCTTACCCTTGGGCAGTTCCTTCAGGCTTATCTTGAAAATGGTAATCATCTTATTAGTCTATTTTCCTATATTGGAGAAAGGAAAGTGCTTCCTTTTAAAACTCATCTCTCTGGGGGAGGGGGAGTTTATTATGAAACCATCTCATTCTTCTCAAGATCCTGGACTTAAGTGGTTGGGAGATTGAGCCAACTTTTTATTATTTTATGATTCTAATTCATCTGATCTTTTGAAATTCTAGACATGAATTTTTATTTTGTATGGTATAAAGAGTGTTTCTATAGAGGAGTGTTTCAGTAGAGATGCATTGTGAGAACATCTGTGTTTACATGTGTCTGCATATGTGTATATGTATGTGGGTGTGAATATGTATATGTTCAGGATGTGTTCTGCACTTAATATTTATACTTCTAAAAACCAGGTAACTGTGACAGATTTTCATCTTAAGTCTACAATGGATGAAAAGTCTGAAAATTACTATACAGTGGAGAAAGCTATTTTTGGAGAATTGATTGTTTTGATCTGAGTTTGCTTTTTTGGTTCATCAGGCTCATCCTACTTTTATTATCAGGTAATGATTTCTAGGAATAGGAAGTGAAATTCTTTGAGATTTGTTATTTGGTGTGGTACAGGAACCTGGTATTGTCATTTAACTTTTGCTCTCTTCTCCCTTTATATCAATCAGTAATTTTCAGATGCTGTTAATTTTTTTTTTTTTTTGTCTTTCTTCTTCCCATAGGAGAAGAATTAGAATATGAGTTCGATGAACAGGGGCATAGTACTTGGCTATGTAGGGTGAGGTATGTTCCTTTTACATTCATGACCATTTTTTGAAAGTGGCCAATTTCAGGTTTAATTTATGGTTATAAATAACAACCCAAAGAGGGACTGTAGTCTTCATTTTAGGCTATTCCTAAATTGGGGTCTTGATAGATTAGTACCATCTGCATTATTGGGGAGTGGGATGGGATGTGTAAGCAGTAGAGGGAGGGGCCCCCCTGGTGGCCCAGTCAGTGAAAGCCCAGAACTAAGAAGCTACATGCAGTCACTATAGCATGAGTTCATGAGTTTGATCCCCGGCCAGGGAGCTGCCCCACATGGCACAGGAGACCTCTCCTAACCCCCAGCTGCTCCCCTCAGCAGTGTATTTCAGTCAGTCTTACCTGTTCTGCTCCCCACTCTGTCTCTGGTAAATCCTTTCACGTTGCTCCCTGGTCTGTACTCCAGTTCTTGTATGCATAAATAAATAAATATTTTTGAAAAAAATCACCTCCAACCTTGGCAATACAGAACAAAACAGATATTAAAATGACATCTTAAGACACATGACTGCTACCAGAGCATATTTTTTGCATGAGAATTGGCACTTAGTCTTGTACTGTAATTCTCTCTAAATCAATGCAGATTACCCGTGGATGATTCAACTGGAAAACAACTGGTGGCTGAGGCCATTCACTCGGGAAAGAAAAAAGAAGCGATGATCCAGTGCTCACTGGAAGCCTGTCGAATCCTGGACACTTTGGGGCTGCTACGGCAGGAGGCAGGTGAGTGCGTGGGAGCACTTTTTAAAAAAAAGAAGGAAGGAAAATTGAACATAAAACATAATAAAACCTCTTTTTAGGGGGAAAATGTATATGGTACAAATTCTATGAAGTGAAAACGAAAAATTCCCTATCTTACCACCTGAAGGTAGATGTTATTTATTTTCTCCCAGACATTTTTTATGCATATAGATGTATGTATAGAACTATATCCTTTGACAAAAAAACAAGCATTCATACACCAGTGCAGACATATTATTTATTTTCTTCTGTGATTTACTTTTCTAACATGATGTCTCATGGCTATTATCTGCATCATTGCATTAAATTTACCTCATTAAAAAAACCTCCTTGTATTTTTACTTATTCTAGAATTAACTTTTATTTTTGCAAAGTAACTTACATATAGTTAAAAACTATCAAAAGTTAATAACAAAATGTCTGGCTCCTCCTCAGTTCTCGTCTTCAGAGGCTTTGGCTAGCATTTTAAAATGGTGGCACCAGGGATTAGCTCTCAGCACCATGAAGCTATCAGCAACTACTGCAGTACTAGTTTGATCCTGCCAGGGAGCCGACCCACACGGCACGGCAGATGTCTCCTGTCTCTCCCGCTGCTCTTCTCAGCAGTATACTGCCTGTTTTGCTCCCCACTCTGTCTCTGGTGAATCCCTTCACGCCCCACACTTCTGGATTGCACCCCAGCTCTAGTATGCATAAGAAAAAATCTTTTTTAAAAAAATTCTATTTTTAAAATACAAGAATAAACTGCTATTTTTTTTATCATTTACTTTAGTATCTATTGACTTAAATTAGCATTTAATTTTTACATGATTTTGCTTACATAAATATTAGTCACAACTTTTAATTTTTTTCTGAAGTTTTTTCCTTTGTACTTCTCACTCATTCTTCCCACGTATTTCAATCTGTTTCACTATGTTTTCCAAATGTTCAGTTACATTTAGTAATTTATCAGTTCTGATTTCTTGGTGACATTGCTCCGAT